TCGAAATCGAAGACGAGGGCTTTTGCTTTTTTATTTTTTCTGGACGGCTTTTGCGAACCGTCGCTCAGGTTTAGAGAAGGAGGAGGAGGAGGAAGAGGAGGGCGGCCGAGTTAGCAGATCCGGCGGCTTTTCGCGCGAGAACGGCACGGGCGCGAACGGCGCGCGCTCCCGAGAGGCGCCTGAGACGCGAAAAAGCGCGCACAGCGGCCTCTCATGGATCCGCGAAAACAAAAACCGCTCGAATACGTACCTCTCGGGACGTGAATCGCGGTCCACAGAAACGTCTGCGGGGCTACGTTTCCACAATGAGCCCGGGTTGGATGGAATTGTTAATGTGGAAAAGTACAAGTAGGTTTTAATCCATTATCCAATTCCTTCTGGAAAGGACTTCAGTGGTGATATTAGGATTGGTAATATTCAGGTCGGGACTTTGTTGAGGCCATTTCATGAATATCTGTGTTTCCTCTTACTCCAAATATGATTTTTCACTCTATTAGCAGTGTGTTTGGCATATTTATCATGCTGAAAAATAAAACAACTGTCAATGAGGTGCTCTCTAGAAGGAATTTCATGATGGAGTAAAACCTGTCTGTGCTTTTCAGCATTCACAATCTCATCCACTCTGATAACATTGCCAAGAGCGCCGGCAGAAATGCAGATCAAACCAGCCTCCAGTATGTTTCACTGAAGGCCAAAAGCTCTCATTCTTCCATCTCTGTCCAACTCTGTATGCCAAGAAGACAATTATATTATTAACATAGTATTTTATGTTTAATTAATGATAAAAGGATCATGTTTAACAATTAATTTTCCTGCAAACTATAATTTAGTTTTATTTATTTATTTATTTTCACAAAAGTACTTAAAAGATTAGACTTTTTACTTGGATTTAATATCATTTCTAAATTTAATTTTAATTTAACTGACAAAAATCACTTCTCATAGACCTCATAGCATTCTCCTCCTGCTCCTTCTAAAGTCTCCCCTGCTCCTTCTTCTTTATACACACCCCTAGGTGTCTCTTTTTAACTCTTGACCATTTTTGAATAGGTTTTTAGTCTAAGGGGTCCTGCTATTCTTGGCTCTTAGCCCACTAGCTCATGTCAACAGAGATGTTACAGGTCTATGTCAGCAAAGTATAGATGCAACTTATGCAAAGGAACTAAGTGTTTACATACATTGTCATGATAGCATAATCACTTGATAATATGTTACTCATTCTAACTTCTGACACATATATAGCTTCATACAAGTATTTAACATATATAATCAGTGCTTTACATATTCAGTTATTCAACACAATCAGTCACTCAGCCTTCTCCTAGTGTTGCTCCTGTGCAGGCATACTCATCTTACACAGTATTTTTAACACACGCTGGCATGTTTGCTGCAAACACTACATGCATTTTGAGAAGAGAAAATTAGCCGCTTTACACTTAGAAAATACTTCACACAGAGAAAATAAAATCTACTTCAAATACAACAGCGATGCTGTAAAAACAACCTTGTGAAATAGTAAATAGTCACATTAAGCATTCACTGGAAGTTTATCGTTGGCTTTAAAACTCTAGCTGTGCATAGAGCCCATTGTAAATGTATTTGTATTGTACATTTGTAGTATTTATTTGTAAAATTTTATTATGATTGTATGTTTTTAAATGATTGATGTGAATGAAACGTGCTATTTCAGAAGTATTTTTTTTCTAAATATGTTTTTAGCAAAACAAAAGTATTAAAGCTGTATGTTCAATTGGGATGAGGACAATAACAGGGTTTGTACATTTGTAAAGTGTTTTTAATAAAGAAAAAAAAAAACATCTGAGGACCAAATGAATGGCATATTCCTTTCCAGAACAACTCACAGAAATCAACCATCATTAGATATTTTAGAGATGAAATACTTTTTATTCGCTGTATTTATGTTTTATTTCAGGGACAGATGATGTACATTTCTGCCAATGATTATACATTGTGCATATATAAATTATATAAGCCAAAATATATTAATAAATAAACAATCTGTTGTGACGTAGTGGTGCAGTGGTAGTGCTGTCGTCTCACAGCAAGAAGGTAGCTGGGTCGCTGGTTCGAGCCTCGGCTCAGTTGGCGTTTCTGTGTGGAGTTTGCATGTTCTCCATGCGTTCGCATGGGTTTCCTCCGGGTGCTCCGGTTTCCCCCACAGTCCAAAGACATGCGGTACAGGTGAATTGGGTAGGCTAAATTGTCCATAGTGTATGGGTGTGTTTGTGTGTGGATGTTTCCCAGAGATGGGTTGCGGCTGGAAGGGCATCCGCTGCGTTAAAACTTGCTGGATAAGTTGGCGGTTCATTCCGCTGTGGCTACCCCGGATTAATAAAGGGACTAAGCCGACAAGAAAATGAATGAATGAATGAATGAATAAACAATCTGTCATCTAAAAATAAATTGTCTTTAGATATTCTGGTACTTGAGCAAGCTGTTTGTCTGCAGTCATTGTGCAGAAGGACTCATCAGTCCCCCCAAATCAATGGCTCTATTCAGACAATAATGAAGGAGCAGATCCAACACAACTCTGCTGTTCTGTGGTAAGAGTAACTTAAACGACCTTTACACTCTTCTAGAATGTTCTAGAAATACCAGAGCGCCAACAGGGACAGTGTTTGTATAAGGTTTGCAAGCATGTGGTCTTAATTAAACGCTAGGAGTTGGTAGCCTAGATTCAACATTCCTGAAAGTAATTAAAGCCATAGAAGTTCAATGCCATTCATTCATTTTCTTTTCGGCTTGGTCCCTTTATTATTCTGGGGTCACCACAGCGCCAACTTATCCAGCATATGTTTTACGCAGCAGATAATGTTCCAGATTGTGGTAAAGTTAGACGTTTGACATTCACTAAACACTCGGTTTCAAACCAATTAAATTCCTTGCTCCTGTTATATTTGAGCCAAAAATAGTTTGGATAGGCATAAATATGTGCCCCTTATGTTACACAAGGCAACAAAGACATAACTGTAAAAAAAACAAAGCTTGTGCATCATAGGGAACATTATTTAGGCAATTTCAGAGTTGATTTGAATATTTTATCTCAATTGGTGTCAGTTTAATTAATTTAGGTGTTTACAGTGTATGCGATATACTCAGTGGTGTAAAGTAACTAATTACAAATACTCAAATTACTGTAATTGAGTAGTTTTTTTACTAAGTAGTTTTAAAAATGTGTACTTTTACTTTTACTTGAGTTCATTTTTAGTGCAGTATCTGTACTCTTACTCCACTACTTTCCTTCAACCTGCAGTCACTACTATATTATTTAGCTGCAACTTGCCTCAACACACCAGCACGGATGTTTCTAGAAAGCCTAGTAAGAGATTGATTAGCTAGCCCAGGTATGTCAAATTGGGATTGGAACTAAACTTTGCAGGACACCAGCCCTCCAGGACCGAGTATGGGCACCCCTGGATTAGATGCATGTCACTGATGAGAAGATGAAGGATATTTACTGTATGATGACCGTAAATTGCCTTAAACACCCAGCAGACACAAGACGTCAACATACCGTCAGATTAAAATTGTACCCTAACGTCGTGGAGACGCTACATTTTGTTTGGAAATGAAAATCGGGTTTACAACTGAACTCAACGTCAGGCCGATGTCAATGTCCAACGTCCAACCTAAAACCAACCAAATATCAACATCTAATGATGTTACAGCTTGACGTTGTGTTGACGTTACCACTATGACGTCTATCAGACGTTGAATTTTGGTTGCCATAACTGATGAATAAATGTCAGTATTTGATGTCAATAGGATGTTGGTTTAAGATGTTGGCTCGACACTGGATTTTGGTCACTTTCTAACAACCTAAAATCAACCAAATATCAACATCATTTGACGTCATTATTGGACATCAAAATAATGTTGTCCTTAGACGCTGACTAGACATTGAATTTTGGTCACCTGACATCACAACCTAAATCTGACCTAATATTAACATCTTATGACATTGTGTGGCTGCTGGGCAATAACTAAATGCACTACAGAATGTTACGTTTACACACATCCACAAATTACATGTAAATGCATCAGCTTTTAACAGCATAATACTCACTACTCATGAGTACTTTTAAAAGGGATACTTTTTGCTCCTACTTTGAGTAAGATTTACAACAGGTACTTTTACTCTACTCACACTACATTTTTAGGCAAGTAATGGTACTTTTACTTAAGTATGCTTTTTCAGTACTCTTTCCACCACTGGATATACTGAAAATATGGATCCAGTACATGTATATAAAATCATTATCAAATCATCTTGTGCATTATAGACAATAATATTCTGACAATTTTAGAGTTGATTTGAATATTTTATCTCAACTGGTGTCAGTTTAATTTACTTTTACCATGTTTACATTAAAATATATTTTAAAAATATTATAAAATTAATAAAGTGCTAAGTCCAGAAACAGTCTTGTGCAAAAATTGTTTTCCTGAACATTTTGGTACCGGTTTTATTGTATAATTTAATGTGGTTGAATTGTTTAATTCATTCGTATGGTAATTTTGTTTTGTTTTTTATCGAGAAATTAAGCCTTGTGCAACATAAGGGGCACATATTTATGCCTATCCGACCCATTTTTATTTTTGGGCTCAAACTATAACAAGAGAAAAGAATTTAAATGGTTTGAAACCGAATGTCTAATGAATGTCAAACTTTACCGTGGTTCCCTTCCAGCTAAATCTCTGGGAAACATCCATACACACTAACACTCATACGCTACGGACAATTTAGCCTACCTAATTCACTTCTACCGCATGCATTTGGACTGTGGAGGAAACCGGAGCACACTCACACGAACGCAGGAAACGCAGCAAGTCCACACAGAAATGCCAACTGACCCAGTAGAGGCTCGAACCGAAGACCTTCTTGCTGTGAGGCGACTACCTACTGTGCCACCGCGTCGCCTCAATGCCATTCAATAGTTCAGCTTTCTATATGCAGAATTGCTCTGTCAGAAACTCACCGGTCATTAGAGAGTAGTAGTTCGGATAGGACAGACTCGGGAAGTCTGGAGTCAGGTAATCCACTTTGACGCCGTTTTCCACGATCTCTCGAAAGCCGGGCAAGTTGTGTAAATCGTCCATATAATCGTGGCGGAATCCGTCGATCAGAAACACCAGGAGTTTGCGGTTTGCGTCGCACTGTCGGCACAGGAGGAGGATGAAGAGGGTGTAGATTTTGAGGAGTGTTCGAGTCATGATGCTGCTGTCCTGAGAGAGACTGACTGACTGAGAGACCGAGAGAGAGATGGACACACTCATCTGCTGATTCAGGATAAACTCTCCATCTGATGGGCCGCTCACTCACTCACTAAGCGGACAGAAACTAAATAACACCGCGGGAGAGAGAGAGGAAGAACTTCTGATACTCCAATCATGCCACGCTATTTTTTAGGGGGAGGGATACATTTTGTATATTATAGCCTAATATTATATTCGTTCATTCATTTTCTTATCGGCTTAGTCCCTTAGTTAATCCGGGGTCGCCACAGCGGAATGAACCGCCAACTTATCCAGCAAGTTTTTACGCAGCAGATGCCCTTCCAGCCGCAACCCATCTCTGGGAAATAATATATTATATATTTTATTATATATAATTTGGCCATTATATTATATTATATATAATTTGGGATTTGGGGAGTGGCGATCCATCAGCGAAGTCGGGGGCTTTGGGGAGGTCGTGATGGAGGGGCACTTTCATTTTGAGGGGGCACTAATAATAGTGACTTTATAATTGGTTTTTAACTAAATTAAACACTGCTTTCAAGCTAAAATAAAACAAATAAGACTTTATCTAGAAGAAAAAAAATTATAGGAAATACTGTGAAAAATCATTTGGGAAATATTTGAAAAAGAAAAAAATCCCAGAGGGCAAATTTTGAAATAGTGTAGTCCAGAGGTTCTCAAACTTTTTTCCATCAAGTACCACCTCAGAACAAAAATTGTCTCTCCAAATAGCAGTATATTGAAATAAAGTAGCGTAGTAGGCCCAGTAAAGCAGCTTCAACTCTGCACAGTTAAAAAACATGGCAGATTACCTCAGAAATATAGGCTATATGTCATATATGGCATATTATATACATAATTTTTTATACATTTTGAAATATATGTAGCATGTACATGACATATTTCATTCCTCCACGTACCACTAGTGGTGTACCACAGTTTGGGAACCACTGTAGTCAATATCTGAACTGAAGTAGATCAAATAAGTTTTTCAACTTTGTCCAAAGGCAAGAATATATTGAAGTCAGCTGTTTTTGTATAGTTTTAGGATAATTTTGACTCATGTCATCAGATTGATGTGATGACTTTAGTCAGAAATACTGCACAACTGCCAATAGGGGAGATTAGACTAGAAGAATAGAGATAAGAAGCGAACACAGAAATAGGAAGAGGTTGAATAAAGTGAACATTTTAGCAGCAATTAATCAGATATTTAATGGTTTATGTTCTGTATACGTGCCATAAACCAAAAGTCCAATTAACATTAACATATTCATGATAATAGCCAGAACAAACTAACACCTTTGTTCATGTTTCATGAAGATTTTAATCCTTGATTTTACCCTCAAAGTGATAGTTTACAACACCAACAATTAACATTCTGTTGAAATTTTCTAACCTTCCACTTGTTTTAAACTCGACTTTCTTCTGTTGTACGCAAAATAAAGACATTTTGAAGAATGTTAAAACTGACTCCCACAGTAGGCTATGTTTTTCCTACTATGGAAATCGGTTTACAGGTTTTAGCTAGCCTGCTAAAAAATCCAGCTTAATCCAGCCTAGGCTGGTTGGCTGGTTTTAGCTGGTAGACCAGCCTGGTTTTGGGGGGGTTTTGGCCATTTCCAGGCTTGTTTCCAGCCATTTCCAGCCTGGTCTTAGCTGGTCAAGCTGCAAAATGACCAGCCAAATCCATATAAAACCAGCTTGATCATCCTGGTTTAAGCTGAACATAGCTGGTTTTGGCTGGACTCCCAGCCTGACTAGGCTGGTTTAGATGGTTATCTCCCAGCCTGACCAGCTAAGACCAGGCTGGAAATGGGCAAAACCCCTCTAAAACCAGGCTGGTCGACCAACTAAAACCAGCCTAGGCTGGTTTAAGCTGGATTTAGCAACAGTGTAGGTTTTAAATATATTTTGTATTTTTGGTTGATGGTAGCAAAACCAAATGTTTTGTGTCACGTCCCCATCTAGTGGTAGCCTACATTTGGTAAATTTGGGGTAAAGATGGTTTACTCAAACAGACTTTGTCTTTAATAATATCATTTTATTTAATTATTTTTTGCTAATGCTAATCAGGAAATATTAGCAGCTAGTGACAACACAACATCTTTCAGTCTATTAAATAGTTGTAATGTTGTTTTGATGTTGAACTTGCGATTTCAGTAGCGTGGTAAACAAAACGATATGACTGTGTCACAAGTTCAAACTGTTCAAAAATGAACAAATATGTGAACACAACTTTACCTCAGACCACCTTGAGGTAGCCTAAAGTGTGGCATTTCAACTCCCGCTCCAACTTTCTCGAACACAACAGAAGATACACTGTAGGAGTATCATATAATACCTGCATTGTTAGAACAACTTTGTTTATTATATATATATATATATATATATATATCTTTTTTCACAGTGTGAGTTGTACTGATAAGGTTGTTGAAGTCTCTCAGTCTGTTTACCTTCACTCCCATTCAGTGGTTATTTAACATGCGGATTCCTGAGATGTTTGAAGTCAGCTGATCCGGGTGTGAGCACAGCTGAAGCTCAACAGAAGGTCAGTCCTTTGGCCAAGTTCAATATTGTATAATTCAGATAAGCTAACTTGCTATTGTTACTTCAGGCCGGGTTTGTGAAACACCTGCGTTAAATGTTTATTGGCTTCCGGAGAACACTAGCATCTCACTTCATTTCGGTTTCCAGAAAGTTTGAACTTTGTAACTTGAAAATGTTCGCCTTTACATGTACAGTACGCAGCAGCTGGTTTAAAAGGATAGTTCACCCACATATGGAAAATGCTCACCATTTCAAATTCTCACTTACAGTGAGAGGGGTCTGGATGCAGACCTGGTGCAGTGCAATCTGAGCTGCATCCAATGATTTTTAATGTACTTACCTAACCCCGCCCCTAACCCTACCCGTCAGTGTGACGTCACTCACTCCATTAAGAGCATTGTGTCTGACATTGCATCGCTGAGTGATGCAATCTCAGCTGCATCATAAAGGCTGCATCCAGATACTATTGGCTCATACTCAATGTTTTTTTGTATATTTTCCGTCGTCAAGCAGAAACAAAAATACTATGGAGATCATTCCCCATTATTCTTCAGTATACCTTCCTCTGTGTTAAGCAAAACGGTTTAAAACAACTTGAGGATGAGTAAATGATTATACAACTTTCTTTTTTTTTTTGTTGATGAACTAGGTTTGCTCTACATAATGATCTGCACTGACCTCTTGCGCCTGGAAATGTTTAAAACACCCCTACTGGACTGAACCTGAAGTGTCTTTACTCTACCGCTAGGCTGTGCAATAACCTCAGCTTGATGATCTCATTAAAGACTCAAGTGCGCAGAAAAATAGAAAAACACAAGAAAAGCAGATATAACACAGCAGTTAACCACATTATAGCTGGATTCAGTACATAATGGCAAATCTATGTTTATGTATGGAGGGCAAGTTATACAAAATTAAATCATATATATATATATATATATATATATATATATATATATATATATATATATATATATATATATATATATATATATATATATATATATATATATATATGTATATATACACATATACAGTTTAAGTCAGAATTAATAGCCCCCCTCCCCCTGAATTATTAGCCCCTGATTATTTTTCCCCCATTCAACAGAGAAGATTTTTTCAACAGATTTTAAAGTGACATTTAAAGGTTTAACTAGGTTAATTAGCTTAACTAATTAGTTTAGGGTAATTAAAAAAGTTATTGTATAATGATGGTTTGTTCTGTAGACAGTAAAAAAATTAGCTTAAAGGGGCTAATAATATTGACCTTAAAATGGTTCATAAAAAATTAAAAACTGCTTTTATTCTAGCTGAAATAAAACAAATAAAACTTTCTCAAGAAGAAAAAATATTATCAGACATACTGTGAAAATTTTCTTGCTCTGGAAATATTTAAAAAAGAAGAAAATTCAAAGGGAGGCTAATAATTCTGTTTTGAGCTGTATATATATATATATATATATATATATATATATATATATATATATATATATATATATATATATATATACATACATACATACACTAGTGTTTGTCGCTAGAGCACCTTTTGGGGTCAGAGGAGTGAGGTTTACCTGCATAGCACTTTGCTAGCTGACCTCCATCACTCACACACACACGCACGAACGCACGCATGCAAGCACACACACACACACACACACGTTTGTTTTTGTGAAAAGTGGGGACATTACATAGGTTTTATTCATTTTATGCAGACCAAACCGTATATTGCCCTCACCCCACCCCACCCCTAAACCCTACCATCACAGGAGACTGTGCAGCTTTACTCTCTGATTAAACTCATTCTGTAGGATTTATAAGCATTTTGAGAAATGAGGTCATCACCAATGTCCTCATATTTCACCTCCTTTTTGTAATACCCGTGTCATACCCATGTCATTATACAGATTTGTGTCCTGATATGTCACAAAAACACGTACACACACACACACACACATATATATATATATATATATATATATATATATATATATATATATTTATATATATATATATATATATATATTATTACATAATATATAAATTAAATAATTACATAAATAAATATTTCAATAAATAAACTTATATTTTAAACTTATAATTGATAATATGTAGTTTAATTATTAAAAGCATTAATAATATATCGTTAAACATTTATTCATAAATATGTAATTATTTAATTATACACACACACACACACACACATATATATATATATATATATATATATATATATATATATATATATATATATATATATATATATATATATATATATATACATATATAGTTAGGTGAGTTGTTTAATTATTTATATATTTACCAACAGCTGTAACAAGAAAATGAAATGAGGAAATAATTAAATACATAAATGGAAAAAAAACATTACTATATATATAAGTAATGTAATTTTTGAAAGTATAATTAATATAGAAACAGTATAATGTTATAAATATACACACACAAGCCCCGGCTGGGTCAGTTGGCATTTCTGTGGGGAGTTTGCATGTTCTTTAACTTTAACTTACCTTGGGGAACAGTTTTTCATATATATGTATGAGTGTATGTACGGTATGTATAATGGGAAATATGATATATACAGTTGTGCGTGGTGTTTGCAGCTGTGTGGTGATGATCTGCTTTGTTTGTTGTTGTCATAGTGACCCAGGTGCAATTAGGGTTGAATTAAGAAGAGCAAATGAAACCATAAGACGCACACACACACACACACGCACACACAGGGCAGATCACTTTACACACAACAGAGCATGAGTTGTGTTCAAACCTGCTAAATAAGAGACATTACAGCACATTCTTTTATCAGCTTCTACACTGGAGGGGAAATCTGCGATATAAATAAATGTGATACATGAAGGCTTTCATGAAACTGTTTCTTTTTGAGGACCGACTGTTATAGAGTTTGAAGTTATATAGATTTTTTCTTGGTGCATATTAATAATAATAATAATAAACATACAGTTACTTAAGTTTACTTATTACTATTTTTAAAAGGCTAAAATTAAGCTCAGTGTAACCTAAAAGTTATTTTTTAATCCTCTCTATATCTAAATTATATCTTCTCCTCAGTGTCAGTATATTGCGCACTTTCCTCTGTTTAAAACCAAGAACAGACGCAATGTACACATCGCAAACAAGTGCACAACATACTGAAACTGAGAAGAAACTGTTGAATAAAGCCGCTATTTTAGTTTTTTGAGTGCACAAAAGTATTCTCAACACTTGAATATATTCAGTGTCACAATAGGACATGAGCAATATACTGACACTGAGAATAAGAAATTGTCGAATAAAGTCGTTATTTCTGTTTTATGTGCACCCAAAAGTATTCTTGTCACTTTTTTCATTGTCACACTTGAATGTGTGCAATAAACTGACACTGAGGAGAAGAAACTGTCGAAAAAAGTAGTTATTTTAGTTTTTGTGCGCACAAATTAAATCTCGTAACTAAAATATATTCAGTGTCACACTTAAAAGTGCGCAATATACTGACACTAAGATGATACTGTCGAACTAATTTGTTATTTTGTGCAATGTGCGCACAAGAAATCTCGTGACTAAAATATATTCAGTGTAAAACTTAAAAGTGTGCAATATACTGACACTGAGGAGAAGAAACTGTTGAAAAAAGTAGTTATTTTAGTTTTTGTGCGCACAAATGAAATCTTGTAATTAAAATATATTCAGTGTCACACTTAAAAGTGCACAATTTACTGACACTGAGATGATACTGTCGAACTAATTTGTTATTTTTGTGCAATGTGCGCACAAGAAATCTCATGACTAAAATATATTCTGTGTAAAACTTAAAAGTGTGCAATATACTGACACTGAGGAGAAGCATCTATTAAATAAAGTCATTATTTTAGTTTTTTGAGCACACAAAAGTATTGACGTCACTTGAATGTATTCAGTGTCACACTTGAACGTGCACAATATACTGACACTGAGAAGAAGAAACTGTTAAAGTCATTACTTTTGTTTTATGTGTGCACAAAGTATTGTCAAAACATATATATTCAGTGTCACGCTTAAACGTGCGCAATATACTGACACCGAAAGGATACTGTCGAACTAATTCGTTATTTTTGTGCAATGTGCGCACAAAATAAATCTCGTAACTAAAATATATTCAGTGTCAAACTTAAAAGTGCGCAATATACTGACACAGAAAGGATACTAGCGAACTAATTCATTATTTTGGTGCAATGTGCGCACAAAATAAATCTCGTAACTAAAATATATTCAGTGTCAAACTTAAAAGTGCGCAATATACTGACACTGAAAGGATACTAGCGAACTAATTCATTATTTTGGTGCAATGTGCGCACAAAATAAATCTCGTAACTAAAATATATTCAGTGTCAAACTTAAAAGTGCGCAATATACTGACACTGAGAAGAATCTATTGAATAAGTCATTATTTTTGTTTTTTGTCCGCACAAAAGTATTGTCGTCACTCGAATATATTCTGTGTCACGCTTAAACGTGTGCAATATACTGACACCGAGAAGGTACTGTCGAATTAACTCGCTATTTTGTGCAATGTGCGCACAAAAGAAATCTCGTAACTTAAATAAATTCAGTGTAACAATAAAACGTGAGCAATATACTGACACTGAGGAGAAGAAACTGTCAAATGTAATCATTATTTTTGTTTTATATGCTTACCAAAGTATTCTCGTAACTAAAGTCATTACTTTTGTTTTATGTGGTAGCACAAAGTATTGTCGAAACATATATATTCAGTGTCACGCTTAAATGTGCGCAATATACTGACACTGAGAAGGTACTGTCGAATTTACTATTATTGTGCAATGTGCGCACAAAAGAAATCTCGTAACTTAAATTCAGTTTAACAATACAACGTGAGCAGTATACTGACACTGAGGAGAAGAAACTGTCGAATAGAGTAGTTATTTTTGTTTTATGTGCTTACCAAAGTATTCTCGTAACTTTGTTTTGTGGTATTTTTCTGCACTTTGAAGTTTCACGCTTTGTTATGTCGTTTATGCAAATTAAAAAATATTAAATGCATAAATATACTTTGGTGTATATACTCATGCTCACTTTGTTGTTGTTTATACATATGTACAATAAACTAGCCACTGTAAAGGACTCATTTTAATGAGTTCTCAAATATAAATACACAGATAAAAAAAAGAGCAAGAGCCCGAATCTGACCAAACAGCATCTGTCATTTATTCTTATGATCGCATGATATTTTTTTTACACCAGAATCTTGAGGAAAATAATTAAAGAAGCCCTTGTACTTTTACAAAGATCAGAAAGGCACAACACACACATTATCAGGGACAAACAAAGACAAGCAGGACGTCCTTACCTTCACATATACAGTAGAAAGAGACACATTAAAAGATACGTTTGACTTAAAAACAAAACAAATTATAAACACAAGTGCTTTTGTTTCTCGTCATAAAAAAACAAACAAACAAACTCACACAGGATTTTCTTACGTCATCGTGTAAAATGGCATCTATCCGTTGCATAAGATATAAAAATATATTCGCTCAAGACGGGATAAGTTACGATTACGCGGTTTTACCAGCGCACATAAACATCGAAAAGTCACTGATTATGGCGGCCAGTGCTCATCCATAAGGTGCTAAAGGCAATTAGGCAATGATCCCACTATATATACACATTCACAATGGCTTCAGATCAGCGTGCGGATACGCCGCGCTCCAAATCTCCCTGAATTTTGCGCTCACACATCCCGCCCCATCTGGGAGTTCTGGGTTACCTCTTATGGGATGGTCTCGTGAGCTGGTAGGTCCTGTAAGGATGGTAGTGTCGTAGTCAAGTCGACTGGAATCACCCTCAGCAGCTCTTGACGGAGGATTTGGACACGTCCGAGGTCTTCATGATGACGCTGGCCCGTTTCTCGTGGGCTGTCGCTTGGCCCGAGGGACCGGGTTTGTGGGACGGTGTGGGGAAGAGGCTCCAGGATGTCCCGACAGCGAAGGGCAGCGGCGAGTCTTGGACGGTGGTGATCTTGAAGTTGGGTTTGTCTGGAGAAATGAAGGAGGACATGCCGGGCAGAGGGAAACGCATCTTTTTGTCTTCGTTGCGGAATATTAAGGCCTGGATCCGCTGCAGGATGAAAACACAGCGATGTTAGCAATCTCGAAGGCAAGATGAAGGAATAAATTGTTTTGTTGCACTAGCGTTTTTAAGCATGAAAGGTCTAAGTAGTATTTTCATATACTGTAAAAACTATTGTATTTCGGGGTTTTTTTGCGTTTATTTTTGCTTTTTTTCATTTGCATTGTGGGACTTTGATGTTCAAAAGTTTAAAAAAAGTTACATTTACTGACATTTAAAATATTTTAAGTGATATATTGTCTAGGATGGTGTTGTAAATTATGATACAGAAGCCTGATAATAAACGGACAGTACCTTTTTTGCTTTTTTAAGGACTTAACTATACAATAAGGACTTCATTTATATAAACTGCTACGAGTGTTATATTGCGATTATACAACAGTTCAACAGCATAACCGTTGTGTATAAAAAGAAAATCAAACACAGAGAGTCTAAAAAATCCTTTTGAATGAGGAACTACTTTCTTCCGCTCTTTATTCACCTCTGCAGCTGACATCAGAACAGCAGAAACCGTTACTAATTCACCGACGTCACTTTATAGCTAGTGTGTGAATGATTCTCTAGCGTAATGTCTAAAGTGATAACAAAACAGGTGATTTTCCTCACATTATTATTATTTTAGATTATCAGGCTGAACAGCATGAAATGCCATCAGTCTACAGAGATGTCCTAGTATTTCTCTGTTGCAATCGTAAGATCACAATAATTAACCATGAAAAAGCCAAAGCAAAGCAAACACTACCAGATTACTATGGTATAAATACAGCACTACAACATACAAAAGAGAGAAATTGACTAAGAATGTCACTTACCTGTTATGTAATAATAATTTAATCAGCTCTAATCTGAAATTTGTGTTTTGAGTTTTTCTCCCCTAAGCACTTATTATGCAGTCTCTGTCGCCATCTTGTGGCGGAACGTCAACCCTCTTTGCTCTGCTCAGTATGACAGCCGCTGACACGCTGCCTCTCCGAAATTATAAATATTAAAAATAGGCACTATCCTAAACTGCATAATTGCAATCTACACAACTACATCCTCGCCAAAAAGCCTCAAAAGTACATTATGTTGTCCAACAGTTGCAATATTTGTCAAACTGTTGTGATTTGTTGATCTGCTGCCAATATGTGGGTAGTGTTATACACATTGGTGAAGAGCTGTTGCTATCAGCCAATCAGATTAGAAAAACAGAGAACTTTTGTATTAAAAAAAAATATATATATATATATATATATATTTATATATATATATATATATATATATATATTTTTTTTTTTTTTTAATTTCTTCATATTTGTTATTACGTTTATTTTTTATGTTTTGTTCTTCTACAAACTCCTTTAGGGATCGTGGATTAAAAATTATATTAATTTTTTAAATATATACATTTTTATTTTTTATTTATATTTTAACTTATTTATATATATTGGCATGAGGAACATTTGCATGCGACAAATGATCAAAATATTATCACAGTGGGCATTTAAAGTCAGTATTTTAGGTTCAAGTCAATTTATGCTCTAGAAAGGCCAGAGGGACCAGAAAGAGGTCAAAGATCTACTGAGGAAATATATCACATACACAAACACACACACACACACACACACAGACACACACACACACACACACACACACACACACACACACACACACACACACACACACACACACACTTCAGTCATTATTCACTGCCACTATTGTTTCTGCTGAGTGAATTATGTGGACGCACACACTATCATCACACTGCAGGACCTGCGGCTTCCTGACCGCATGTGGAGGAAAAGACATAAAAACCTAAAGAACAAAAACTATAGTATAATATAGCTAAAAGATAAAGCCAAGACATTCAAATTATATATTTATATTTTAAGTCCAAATTTAATTATCATTCATTCATTTATTTATTCATTTTCGGCATAGTAACTTATTTGTCAGGGGTCGCCACAGTGGAATGAACTGCCAACTTATACAGCATATGTTTTACGCAGCAGATGCCCTTCCAGCTGCAACCCAGTACTAGGAAACCGGAGCACCCGGAGGGAACCCACGCCAACACAGGGAGAACATGCAAACTCCACACAGAAATGCCAACTGACCCAGCCGGGACTCGAACCAGTGACCTTCTTTCTGTGAGGAGACAGCGCTACCCACCGCGCCACCCTTCCCTTTATCAGTTTCTGAATATTTACTTGTTGCTGTGCTGTACATAAACTAGGAAATAAACGGTTCTTGATTTGTCAGATACCTATTAAAACAAGAAATAAAATTAATCTAAGAATTTCTAAAATTAAACTGTAAAAAATATATCAAATTAAATAATATAATAATAAAATAATGAAAACAAATAAATAAAATGTATATAAAATAATAAGCTTCCTAAAATATTTTAATAATATAAAGTGACTAAATTCACATTTTCTTTAACATTCGTCCATTTTTATCACTTTTACGTCAATATTTATTACTTGTTGCTGTGCTTAGACAAACTAAGAAATACTGATGCTGTTAGCACGATCGCCTCACAGCAAGAAGGCTAGCTGTGTCTCAGCTAGGTCAGTTGGGATTTCTGTGTGGAGTTTGCATGTTCTCCCTGTGTTGGTTTGGGTTTCATCTGGGTGCTCCGGTTTCCCCCAAAGTCCAAACACATGCGCTATAGGGAAACTGAAGAAACTAAATTGCTCGCAGTGTGTGAGTGTGTATGTTACTCAGTGCTGGGTTGCAGCTGGAAGGTAAAGCAGATGCGTGAAACTTATGCTGGATGAGTTGGCGGATCATTCCGCTGTGGCGGCCCTCGATGAATGAAGGGATTAACCCGAAGGAAGATTAATGATTAATTTTGTGATACATTTAATTAATGCTGTTAATTAATTAATATTAATTAATTAATGATAAAATTAATTAATTTCCTTTATCAATTTAATCCGTTTTTAAATCAATATTTATTATCTATTGCTGTGCTTAGATAAACTAAGTAATAAATGGTTCAGATTCCTATTAAACCAGAAATAAAATAAATCTAAGAAGTACTCAAATAAAAATGTTACAAATATATCAAATTAATTCAAACTAATAAATAAAATATATATAGCATGTAAATAAAATAGCTTTCTAAAATATTTAATAATATAAAGTGAGTAAATGAGTAATATGTGTTGTATGAGTATGTGTGTATGAGTAATTAGCTACTCATTGCTGTGCTGAAGATAAACTAAGAAACGGATTGGTCAGATCAAAAGCAGCACTTCAGTCATGCGTGTCCACGTTTGTAGTCTTGCTGTGTTTGTGTTTCTAATCAGAAATTCCCCTCCTTCAAAGCACATCGTGACATTTAAAGCAAAAGTCACAGATTCACTCTTTCTATTTCTTCAGTTTTGGAACAAACCGCAGCACATTTGCGGGAATCAGCCCCTTCTGACGTCACTGCTTGCGCTTTCGTTTTTTTTTCCTGCTCTTGTTTTGCATCAGAGTTCTGAAGTAAAGGAACCGAAAACACTGTCTGCAGCGCGCAAGAGTGTGTGTGTGTGTTTGTGTGCAGATTACACTGCTCTTGCAAAAGGAACTAGGAAAAGCCACAATCTTTCAGGCATGAAACGTACAAGACCTGATCTTATTTAGTCCAAAAGTTAGCTAAAAGTTGGAATCACAAATACAATAATTTCAAGAGCTCACACATCAGTATAGTGATGGGGACTCTATCATACTTGTCAACATTGGGATGTGAAAATAAGGGATATGCCAACCATAATAAGGGGCCGGCACCTGTAATCAAAAGGAAATGGAATCGTGCCGTTTTTAGTATTTATTTATAAGTGTTTTCATTCCTAAACAAAGCGAAAGCACAGAAGAGTCACGTTTTAGAGCATGGGGCGCCCACTGGTGGTTCGGCGGTATGGGTTGCGTAAAGTGAGGCTCAGCTGTTTAGAGAAAGACTGAAAATACGGGAAAATACCTTTACGGGATGATAGTGGGATAGAACAGTAAAATACGGGAGAATCCCGGGAAAACGGGAGGGTTGACAGGTATGGACTCTATACTGCTCAGTGAGCGCCGTCTTTCGGATGAGATGTTAAACCGAGGTCCCGACTCTCTGTGGTCGTTAAATATCCCAGGATGTCCTTCGAAAAAGAGTAGGGGTTTAACCCCGGCATCCTGGCCAAATCTGCCTACTGGCCTCTGTTCATCATGGCCATCATGGCAAATCATCACTCTTTCGCCTCTCCACCAATCGGTTGGTGTGCGGTCTGCCGCAAAATGGCTGCCGTCACGTCATCCAGATGAATGCTGCACACTGGTGGTTTAAACTGCTCCTATTATGCTGTTTGGATATCATCTGCATCCCTTCATGTGTTTCTGTTTGTGAATTTAAAATGTTTCCAAGAGTTTCTGAAAGTGCAGATACTGCAAAAGAAAGAAGCGATTCTGACCTGTCTGAGGTCACCAGTAATTTCAGTTTTACTTCCTCCACAGCCGTACATAAGTTTGCAATACATTTACACAATGCCAGTCTATATCCTCTATTGGCTGCTGACAAACATCTATATTCACTGTAGTTGTAGCTGATGTGTGTGTGTGAAATAATTAATAGTGTAAAACTAGTGTAGTGTAAGACTCCACAGTAACTGTTCGTGTTTAAGTGCCAAGGATGAGTGAAATTCTGATATGGCAATGAGCATTTGGTTTTTAAACCGATGCTGCCAATCAAAACAGTCTTAAACAGATCGAACCAATCAGAGCAGAGGAGGCACTTAAAAAGGCGGGGTTTAGAGAGACTGGATCTTTGAACTGATTGTTTTAGACACTGAGAATAACACTGACTCGACAATGCATATACATGTGCAGATTGCTGGAAAACATTCACTCCCAGCATATCTGCCACTGAACTGGACTTCATATCCCATCTTGCACCTCACACACACCAGTTTCAGATCACCACTGATTGCAAACACACAGCTGAAACTCATGAGATCAATTCATTGATCAGGTGCACGCCATTTGGGGGATATAGAGAGATCTGGCGCATGCCATTCGGGGGAATCAGTGGTGATCTGGAACTGGTGTGTGTGAAGTGCATGATGGGATATGTAGTCCAGTTCAGTGGCAGATATGTAGTGAGTGAATGTTTTCCGGCGATCTGCACAGGCTAGAACGGTGATGATCGTGACATGTATATATAAGGGCGACATGGGGGCTCAGTGGTTAGCACTGTCACCTCACAGCAAGAAGGTTGCTGGTTCAAGTCCCAGTGGGAGCCGTTGGCATTTCTGTGTGGAGTTTGCATGATCTCCCCATGTTCGCGTGGGTTTCCTCTGGGTGCTATAGGTGAATTTAACTAAATTGCTCATAGTGTATGTGTGTAAAAAAGTGTGTATGGAGGTTTCCCAGTGTTGGGTTGTGGATTGAAGGTCATCCGCTGCATAAAGACATATGCTGGATAAGTTGGCGGTTCATTCAGCTGTGGCGACCCCTGATTAAGAAAGGGACTAAGCTGAAAAGAAAATGAATGAGTGATGTTTTAGGCAGCACGGTGGCTCAGTGGTTAGCACTGTCACCTCACATCAAGAAAGTCACTGGTACAAGTCCCGACTGGGCCAGGTGGCATTTTTGTATGGAGTTTGCATGTTCTCCCCGTGTTGGCGTGGGTTCCCTCCTGGTGCTTTGGTTTCCCTCACATTCTAAACACATGCATCATAGGTGAATTGAATAAGCTAAATTGGCTGTATTGTATGAATTTGTGTGTGTGAATGTGAGTATGGGTGTTTCCCAATACTGGGTTGCAGCTGGAATGGCATCTGCTGTGTAAAGAACATATGCCAGAATAGTTGACGGTTCAGTCCGCCGTGGCGACGTCTGAAATTGAGACTAAACCGAAGGAAAATGAATGAATCATTCTATGATGTTTTGTTTTTCGCCATTAAACCTGCAGTCTTTACCCCTAATTTAAAATATTCTTATCAATTTTCTTATACAAAATTTAAAAGGAAAATTCACCCAAAGATGACAATTCTGCTATCATTTATTCACCTTTCAATTCTGAAAACACAAAAGAAGATATTTTGAGAATTGTTGGATTCCTGTAACCATTGACTTCCATAGTAGGAAAAACAAATACCATGGAAGTCAGTGGTTAAAGGTCTCCAACATTCCTCAAAATATCTACTTTTGTGTTCAACAGAAAAAACAACAACCACAAACAGGTTTTTTTTTTCTTTTTCTTTTTTATTTGTGAGTGAACTATCCCTTAGAGTAGACTATGATCAAAACTGAATTCTCACAGCCCCGAAGCTTCAGCAATAAACCCGCACAGACAAAAGGATTCTGGGAATTGTTTGGACACACCCAATTTAAAAGCACTGGATTTTTTTCTTCTGGCCGCTATATCACTCAGTAATAACTTCATAACCCAAAACATCAGTGATCTGCTGTGTGTTTCAACCTGTCAGCTCTCTGTAAGATACTCTTTTTATAGTGTTTGTTTGTCTTTTCCACGTACCTCTTTGGAGTCTTCCTCGCTGGCGCTGTCCGTTTCGCTCTCAGCTGGAAGACACAGAGTAAGCAAAGCAGTCAGACTGAGAAATCCAGGAGTTCCTGACAGACTGGTTATCGTGTACGGGTGGATGAAACAATGCAATGGATCATCAGATTAAATAAGACAGCTCAACCGATGGACTGTTTGCTCTACTTCAATATTTAACCCTCAATAGCTGAGAGATCGCCTCAGGGCCAATCATTTATGATGTAATCTCAATTATTAGATTAAGAAATGACAGACTGAATACATCCTGACACAACAAACGCAAATATTTCTAACACTTTACCTTCCATTAGTTTACTATTATTAGTTACTGCATTAGCTAACATGGAGAGACACATTTTGCTCAAGTATTTATTTTCGTTATGCAACAGTTGTGCATTATTAGTTCAGGTTAGCTCAGTTCTGATGGATGACAGTAGCTATGTTTCCATTTAAAATGGTAATTAAATTATTGCATAAAACTGGAATATTGCATAAATAACGTGCGGATAAAGCATTGTAATCATCCAACGAGTCAAAGAGAACAAAATCCTCACTTCCCGATAAACTGGCGCCAAATATCAATAGTAAAAACTAAATTTACTGCGGTACAAGAAGCTGCGTGAATCTTTTCTCTATTTAATAAATGACTTGTGCCTCAGAAGACAATGCCGACACACAATGATCGCGTGGTGGCGTTTAAACCCAGCAGGCACACATCATGAGATTATCAGGTTTGATTTAGGTTGTGATGTCAGGTGACCAAAATTCAATGTCTAGCCAGCGTCTAAGGACAACGTTATTTTAACGTCCAATGATGACGTCAAATTACGTTGATATTTGGTTGATTTATGGTTTTGTTGGAAAGTGACCAAAATCTCTAACGTCTGATAAATGTCATGGTGGTAACGTCCACACAACGTCAAGTTGTAAGATAATTAGACGTTGATATTTAGTTGATTTTAGGTTGGGCGTTGGACATTGACGTCGGCCTGACGTTTGGTTCTGACTAACAACTATTCAAAAAAATTAAAATATTGATAAAATGACATTTAATGAAACAACCCAGGCTCATTATGGATATGTACCCCTGAACACATTTCTGGAGAGCGGCAAATACGTGCCAGGAGCTACGTTTTTTTGCAGTTTTTGTTTTCGCAAATCCACCAGAGACTGCTGTGTTTGCTTTTTCAGATCTCAATTTTTTTTTTTGCGAGTGCCATTCGCACCTGCTGTTCTCACGTAAATCCACCAGAGGGCGCTGTCGACTGACTGACTGACCAATCCACCCACCTAAATCCACACCTAAATAAACACATTTCTAAACATATTGTTTTTTTTTTTTTTGATAACTTAATTCTAATAACTGATTTCTTTTATCTTTGCCATGATGACAGTAAATAATATTTGACTAGATATTTTTCAAGATGCTAGTATTCAGCTTAAAGTGACATTTAAAGGATTAACTAGGTTAATTAGGCAGGTTAGGGTAATTAGGCAAGTCATTGTATAATGATGGTTTGTTCTGTAGACGATTCAAAAAATTTCACTTAAGGGGCTAATAATATTGACTATAAAATGGCTTAAAAAATTAAAACTGTTTTGGAAAAAAAGGAATCCCCTACATGTACACTGTGGCTTGGAGAATTTGCTTCTATGTTACATTTGGAGTGAATTACATACTATTTAAAAAGAAAACTTTGGAAAAAAAGAATCCTTTTATCTGTTACATTTGAAAAAAAACCTCTCATAATGCTGTGTTCACACCAGACGCGGAACGCGCGGATAAATTGCGCTATTCGTGCGTAAATAGCCGCGTGAACATTTGAGTTTACTCGCTTCATACGCGCGTCAAACCCCGCTTCATTCGCGTGTCAAATTCACATCAGAACAGACGTGGATTCGCGTGATGGGCAGGGCTTCTGTCTGCCCGAAGACTCTAGCTTCATAGCTAAATGGCTAACATGGATTTTTTTAAGAAAATAACAGTGTTTATGTGCTTTATGAAGACTGAAAAACAGTGTTGATACGTTTAGATTCTCGCGAAACGCTCAATTCACCCCGCACCATTCGCGCAATCTGCGTCATTCGCGCGTATCGCGCCGCACGATGTCTATTCGTGCGTTTGCATTGACTTAACATGTAAATCACTCGTGCTGTATGGTGTTCCGCGTCTGGTGTGAACGCAGCATAATGCATCATTTCTGTTATGTTTTAACATGCATTGTCATCATACTCTGTTGTTCAAACAGATCTTTGTAACAAGTTTGCTTGTTATGTAGGTGGGTGTTTTTTTATTTTATTTTTATTTTTTTTCATTATTTATTTTCTTCAATTTTTTCTTATTTGCTGTGCCTGATATATGTGGACAAAATATGTAAACAAAAATATTTTTTGACAAAAAAAAAGAAAAAATATTATAGGAAATATCGTGAAAAACTCCTTGCTCTGTTAAACATAATTTGGGAAATATTTAATAAAAAAAAAAATTACAGGAAGGCGAATAATTCTGACTTCAATTATATAAATAAACCCATTAGAAAAAAATGTAAAAGCACTGATAGATATGCCACATTTTGGCTCAGTGTGTGAGAAAAAAAAAAAACACGTAATTTATTTAAAGATATAATAGTTTTCTCTCCACCAGCCTGAAACAACATGTTAAGAAAAAGCCAAGAAGCCTAAAGCTGCCCAAAGACTCACTAGAGCATAAATCATGCATACCAACAGAAAAAAAAGACAGCTCGGTTTCTCTTTTTTAACTCTTGCATTGTGTTTGTGTTTACCACGAATAACTCAACAGTTAAGCGAGACGTTTGAGCTGTAAAACCACACGCTTTCAGCCTCAGGGACTTCTGAGAAGAAAAGAAAGGACTGTTGATTGGAAAACACGGAACAACAGGACATGAGTCAACATTCCCGTCTGAATACAAACGCACTGACAATCGGTACGGTGAATTTCATGCACCCAAAACAAGTTTTGATAAGCCAAGGCCGCACAATGCCAACAACGCGCCAAGTTCATGTCATGTAAATGCTGACAGCGATGTGGATGAATGACATACTGTAAGCGCGCATTTATTCAACTACTCTAGGAAGTCATTTGCATTCCTTACTCGTAAGTTACTCCCAGAGGAGACCGGATAAAATCGGCAAGCCTTATAGAAGGAAATGTAGTCTATTAGATCTAGTAGCATTGTGGGTTTTGTATCGCTTCACGCATATAGCATTACACTGAATGACTTTGAATAGTACAAAAAAGTTATCGCAAGTTTGTTGGCAACAATTTAGTTATGTTTTAGTTATGTTTGCTAAGATATTGGTATTATTTAATAGAGTCTAATTATTTCTCTTATTTAATTTAAGGGTGTAATTTCGGTTTAAATCCTATTTCCTTTATTTACATTCAGTTGAGGTCCCTCTTTTTCAAATATTTCCCATATTATGTTTAACAGAGCAAGGAATTTTCCACAGTATTTCCTATAATATTTTTTGTCATCTGGAAAAAGTCTTATTTGTTTTAATTTTCGGCTAAAATAGAAGCAGTTTTTAAACTTTAGCATCCGTTTAACCCAATTAACCTAGTTAAGCTGAATACTAGTATCTTGAAAAATATTATGTACACTACTTGACAAACAACTTCATGTTTATCCCAGTTGTTAGAGCAATAAATAATAGCTTGACTTCTAGTTGATCATTCGTAAAAGTGGCCGAAGGTCGATTTTTCAGATGTATCATCTGTTGATCTGCATCCCAATCATCACAAATACTGAAGAAGACCTACTGGAACCTGCATGGACCCAATATTCTCACAGAAATCAGTCAAGTTTGGTGAAGGAAAAATGGTTTGGGGTTACATTCAGTATGGGCGTGTGCGAGAGATCTGCAGAGTGGATGGCAACATCAACAGCCTGAGGTATCAAGACGTTTGTATTGCACATTACATTACAAACCACAGGAGAGGGCAAATTCTTCAGCAGGATAGCGCTCCTTCTCATACCTCAGCCTCCACATCAAAGTTCCTGAAAGCAAAGAAGGTCAAGGTGCTCCAGGATTGGCCAGCCCAGTCACCAGACATGAACATTATTGAGCATGTCTGGGTAATATCATGGAGGAGGCATTGACTATGAATCCAAAGAGTCTTGATGAACTCTGGGAGTCCTTCATAATGCTTTCTTTGTCATTCCAGATGACTTTATTAATCAGTGATTTGAGTCATTGCAGAGATGTCTGGATGCAGTCCTCCAAGCTCATGGTGGAGTCAGACACAATATTCATTCTGTCTCCACTGCAGCAGGACTTTATATTCTATACTAGACATTATTTCTGTTCAGTGACAAAACTTTTGTCTAGGCTAAGTCAAACCTTACGGTCCAAATTAAATCATTAAAAATCAAGGCATGATCATATTTTATTTCATTTTGGTCAAATAAGCATAATCTAGAGGCCTTTGCCTTTCATATAAGCCACTTCTGATACCAAATGATCAACTAGAAGTCAAGTTATTATTTGTTGTTCATAAAACTTTAATTGGTCGACAACACTTTTGTCAGGTAATAATTATTATTATTTTTATTTTAACAAATAAACATGAACTCTGAATGTATTGTGCTTAATTTTAATTGTTAGTTTTTAATTTATTAAAATAAATAACGTAATTGGAATCAGAACCGGAAACTGTCTAATGATATCCAACAAATGAAAGCTGCACATACAGCACCACTTACTGCACAAAATGTGAAAAAAAGTATATACAGTTGAAGTCAGAATTATTCACCCCCCTTAGATTTTTAAAAAAAATATTTTTTAAATAATGTTTTTTAATATTTCCCAAATGATGTTTAACAGAGCAAGGACATTTTCACAGTATGTCTGATAAGATTTTTTCTTCTGGAGAAAGTCTTATTTGTTTTATTTTTCGGCTAGAATAAAAGTTTTAACAGTTTTAAATTTTTTAAACACCATTTTAAGGTCAAATTTATTAGCCTTTCAAGCATTGTTTTCCCAATACTCTACAGAACTAACCATCATTAAACAATAACTTGCCTAATTACCTTAACCTGCCTAGTTAACCTAATTAACCTAGTTAAGCCTTTAAATGTCACTTTAAAGTGTCCTGAAAAATATCTAGTCAAATATTATGAATCATCATGATAAAGATAAAATAAATCAGTTATTAGAGATGAGTTATTAAAACTATTATGTTAAGAAATGTGTTGACTACAGACTTCAACTGTATACATGGGCCTGCAAAAAATCAGCTTTCAACCAATCAGAGCCTTATAAATACCACAAATCACTTGTGAAGCTACACCGCGTTCCACCAAGACAGCCAGTCAAATCTAGTGTGAGCATCAGTGCAAATCGTCTGGATTTTAGCATGAAGTGGATCCCTATGTCAGACTGAAGACACACTGTAACTAGGGCACACACACACACACACACAGGGGACACTGAATATTGTGTTCTCACCTCTGCGTTATACATTAACTCTGGCCAGAGCTGAGTTACAGTACAGAAGTACAGCCGTGACGTGACACACACACACACTGTGTCCTTGATACGCTGATCTCTAACGGACATTGAACAGCACGGAGAACACACACCTGATCTCAATGCCTCAAAACATGTTTCAAGCTTCTGAATTTTGCAAAACTATTTATTTATGTGTTTATATATGTAATAAAAAACACGGATATTTTTTACAGTGCACAAATTTACCACCTGTAATTTTCCACCATAGCTGAAGATCAAGCAGCAGGGTGGTTTGGAGGTTTTGTTTTTTTAATGATTGAACAGTAGGTATTTTATGAGTGTGTATGGCACTGAATAAATGACACCAACAAAACTCTGAAAGACTCAATAAAATGATTAAAGGGCCAAACCAACCGTATGAGGAGATGGGGGAGATCTGTAAAGGGTAAAGGTCACTGGAGGTCACGGCCTGCTCCTCGTTCTCTGTCACCACCTCGATGGTCTGACAGACGTCGGGCAGATCGTTGATGATCAGATGGTCCTCTGAGGAACAACAACAGGGAAGAGAGAGTCAGTATGGAGAACAGTGAAGAGGGAAGTGAACCGGACTTTTAAAGGACACCTATTATGCCCCTTTTTACAAGATGTCAAATAAGCCTCTGCTGTCCTCAGTGTGTGTGTGTGTGAAGTTTCAGCTCAAAATACTACACAAATAATTGTTTTACACCTCTTCAAAACTGACCCTTTTAGGCTTTGATCAATAGGATTTGTAGGAATTGTTTTATTTTGGTGACTGTCGCTTTAAATTTAAATGAGATTGTGCTCTTTTTAAAAGAGGGCGGAGCTACAAACATCTATGCGTCAGCATAGTGGCAGATTCTAAACAGGACTAATGTTATCTCTGAAAATTGAAAATGTCAATAAAATGTCTGTCTCCATCGAAGAAGGCCGTCTATGCAGACTACAGTGTTCAGTTATGCATCTTAAAATTGAGACATTATTTTCGGCAGGTATGGCATGAAAACTAATGCTGACAGCTGCTTCTCATTCAGAACTGTCTATGCCAGGGGTCACCAAACTTGTTCCTGGAGGGCCGGTGTGCTGCAGATTTTAGCTCCAACCCTAATCAAACACACCTGAACAAGCTAATCAAGCTCTTACTAGGTATACTTGAAACATCCAGGCAGGTGTGTTGAGGCAAGTTGGAGCAAATCCCTGCAGGGACACCGGCCCTCTAGGACAGAGATTTGTGACCCCTGGTCTATGCCAATAACGGAGTGATCATCACAAATAGGAGCGGCTTTCCTCCTCTGATGATACGTACAAAGAGAAAATGTCAATCAAAAAGTTTCTGCAGACTGTTTTCATCAAGTGTGATTATAAACATCTACAATTAATTAATTTTGACAATTAGAAGACAGTAAGTGCTTGATAGCCCCGCCTTACAGGACTGATAACCCCGCCCTAAATGACAGAAAACCCCTTTAAAAGACTGATAACCCCTTCCTAAAGGGCTGATAGCCCTGCCCTAAAGGACAAATAGCCACACCTTTAAACACTGTTAGCCCATCCTTAAATGACTGATAATCCCGCCCTAAAAGGCTGAAAGCCCATATCTAAAGGAATGATAGCCCATCCCTAAAGGACTAATAAACACACCCTACAGTACTAGTAGCCCCTCCCTGAAGGACTGATAGCCCCGCCCTAAATGACTGAAAGCCCTTTTAAAAGACTGATAACCTCTTCCTAAAGGGCTGATAGCCCTGCCCTAAAGGACTAATAGCCACACCCTAAAACACTGTTAGCCCATCCTTAAATGACTGATAATCCCGCCCTAAAAGGCTGAAAGCCCATATCTAAAGGAATGATAGCCCATCCCTAAAGGACTAATAAACACACCCTACAGTACTAGTAGCCCCTCCCTGAAGGACTGACAGCCCTGCCCAAAATGACTGATAGCCCCTCGCTTAAGGACAGATAGCCCCCTGCTAAAGGACTAACAGCCTGGCCCTAAAAAACTGATCGGTTATCCGTAAAGGACTGAAAACCCCTCCCTAAAAGACTGGTAGCCCCTCCCTAAAGTACTGGTAGCCCCTCCCTAAAGGACTGATAGCCCCACCCTAAATGCCTGCTAGCTGCTTGCCCTAAATGCCGACAGCCAAAACCTAAATGACTCATAGCCACATTGACTGATAGCCACACTCTAAGGGACTGACAGCCTCGCTCTAAATGACTGACAGCCACTACCTTAAGTAGTGATAGCCCCTCCATTACAGACTGATAGCCCCTCCCTAAAGGACTAACAACCCTGCCCTAAATGACTGATAGCTCCTCCCTAAATGACTAATAGCCCCTCCCTAATAGACTGATGGATCCCTCCCTAAATTACTGATAGCCCTTCTAACATCCAAACCCTAAAAGACTGATAGCCCCTCCTTAAATGACTGATGGCCCCTTCCTAAAGGACTAACAGCCAGGCCCTAAAAAACTGATAACCTACCCCTGAAGGACTTATAACCACACCCTATAGTACTGGTCGCCCCTCCCTAAAGGACTGATAGCCCCTCCCTAAATTCATGATAGACCCACCCTAAATGACTAATAGCCCAACCCTAAAATAGGATAGCTCCACCCTAAATGACTAATAGCCCTACCCTAAAACATGAAAGCCCCTCCCTAAATGACTGATAGCCCCACCCTAAAATCTGATAGCCCCTCCCTAAATGACTGATAGCCCCACCCTGAAACATGATAGCCCCTCCCTAAATGACTGATAGCCCCACCCTAAAATCTGATAACCCCTCCCTAAATGACTGATAGCCCCTCCCTAAATTAATGATAGCCCCACCCTAAATGACTAATAGCCCCAACCAAAAATATGATAGCTCCACCCAAAATGACTAATAGCCCCACCCTAAAATCTGATAGCCCCTCCCTAAATGACTGATAGCCACACCCTAAAATATGATAGCCCCACCGTAAAATCTAATAGCCCCTCCCTAAATGACTGATAGCCCCACCGTAAATGACTGATAGCCCCGCCCTAAAAGACTGATAGCCACACGCTAAATTATTGATAGCCCCTCCTTAAAGGCATTCCAGGCCGGTGTCCTGCAAAGTTTAGTTCCAATTAGGATCAGACACACCTGGGCTAGTTAATCAAGCTCTCACTAGGCTTTTTACTAACATCCATGCAGGTATGTTGAGGCAAGTTGGGGCTAAAATCTCCAGTTTGGGCACCCCTGGTTTATAGCATGCACTACTATATAGATATGTACATCACAAGAGTGAATTTTGATTTATTATGACTTTAGGGAAACCAGAAGGGATTTTTCACTCTGGACACAATCCCTCCGGTCCCTGCAACTGAGCTGGATTTCCCATGAGTCTGTAATGAAATGATGTAGTGGAAATCAGGTTAAAAACAAATGAAGCAGCTGAAAGGCTTTTTGTAAATCAATTACGCTGCAGTTTGATTTTGCTTTGGCAATTCGATGTGTATCACAGACTCCACATCAGCGCTGACTTACAAAACAAACACAAGCTAAGCTCACCTTTTACCCCAATCCAGCACATTTGAAGAGGGAAACAGAGAACGGTGAATGTGAGAAACACACACACACACACACACACGTGCGCGCTAACAAGGAGATCTGGATAAACAGGTCCACCACAGAATGATAGGTGTAGCGCGATCACATCCCATCTCAAACGCAAAAGCACAAATGTTACGAAAACCTGCCAGGAACACGTTTGGGTGTTCAACTCAAACATTAGAATTTTTGACATTTTTATTTTGCATGAACTGTGAATGTGTTGATATAGCCGGTCAATTTAATCCATGTTGTTCTTAATTTATTAAATACTTGTGTTTGGATGGGAGGATTTAATCTATGTTAAAGATTCAGATTCATTATTAACAATCCTCATTCATTCAATTTATTTTCGACTTAGACCCTTTATTAACCTGGGGTCGCCACAGCGGAATGAACCACCAACTTAATTAGCCAACTTAATTCCAGCATATGTTTACACAGCGAATGCCCTTCCAGCTGCAACCCATCACTGGGAAACACCCAGTGACACACTCATTCACAAACTCATACACTACGGACAATTAAGCTTACCCAATTCACCTATAGCGCATGTGTTTGGACTTGTGGGGGGAACCGAAGCACCCGGAGGAATCCCACGCCAACACGGGGAGAACATGAAAACTCCACACAGAAATGCCAACTGACCCAGCCGAGGCTCGAACCAGTGACACTTAAATAGCTTTAGCTTTCATAGCAAATAGCAAATAGCTTTCATCAAACTTAGTTAAAAATTATTTTTACATTTACCAACACACTGCTAATGTATTCATCTGTAAACAAAGTTGTATGTCTTAATGTTAAATAAATAACATGAACAATAATGGAGCTAAATTCTTCTTCTTCTTCTTCTTCTTCTTCTTCTTCTTTTTATAATTATTATTATTAATATTTATTATGATTATAATTATTATGATTATTATTATTATTGTTGTTATTGTAATTATTATTATTATTAATATTATTATTTATTATTATTATTATTATCATAATTATTTATTATTACTATTATTATTATTATTTATTATCATCATTATTATTATTTATCATTGCTATTATTGTTTTATTATATTATCTTTATGTATTTATTATTATTATCATTACTATTTATTATTACTATTATTATTATTATTATTTATTATCATTATTATTATTTATCATTGTTATTATTGTTTTTATTATTATTATTATTATTATTATTATTTATTGTTATTTTTTATTTTTATTATTATTATCTTTATGTATTTATTATTATTATTATTATTATCATTATCATTTATTATTACTATTATTATTATTATTTATTATCATTATTATTATTTATCATTGTTATTATTGTTTTTATTATTATTAATATTATTATTTATTGTTATTATTTTTATTATTATTATTATTTATTATTATTATCTTTATGCATTTATTATTATTATTACCATCCTTATTGATTATTATTATTATTATTATTATTATTATTATTATTATTAATCATTATTATTGCTTTTATTATTTCAAATAGGTCAGATAAATTGGAGCTGTTAGAGGGTGTTATTCAGAGTTATTTTAGCTTTGTCTTGTGGATTGTGAGAATTTGAAAGGGTTCCTGCAAACACTGCAGCAGTTTGTTCTGCCTGCCTCAGTCAAAGTGTTGCAAATACCCAGAATGCTTCAGGCTTCTCTCACAAAAGCCTGAGTTTATTCAGCAGCTCCTCTTTCATTCGAGTTTATATATAAAACACGACCACAGCTGGTTGACTTTCCCCTGCATTTCCTTCACAAAACCTTAAAAACAAACACTTGAACTTGAAACTCTGATAGAAGCAGAAAATAAATGATATATAGCAGTGGTCCTGCAATTGGTACCAGGCCACACAAGAAATCCTTAATTATTTCAGTTTTATTTATTATCTGAGTCCGAGTGGTCTTTTATTTTGAAAAATCTTTTCTAATAAAAAGTGACCGTATTCTCTCAGTTACATCTCGGTCACTCGAGCGCCCAAATTTAACCCACAAGCAGCCAAATGAGTAAGAAATCAGCATCTTTGGAAAGTTTCTCTGCGAAGAGGAAAAGGCCAGTGACGGACCCACAAACTGCCAAAGAATGGATTAACAACCCATTTGTAGACAAATCGGGTGAATCCAGCATGTCTGTGCAAAAAGATCAACTGCTGGAGATCACAAATAACAGTGGCCTTCTAGCAGCCGTTCGCATATCGCGTCTTTTCTAGCGTTCGCACAAGTTTGTTGTTTCTAATGGAGGTGCGAGGCTTGCACGGCTTCCAGACCAGACGCACCCAGTTGAACGAATCCCGCGAGCACACAGCCAGTCACGTGACAAGAATTGACCGATAAGCTTCAGCTTGCATGGAATTTACACATTTCAGTCAACTAATTATCTCAGACAAACACAGAACACCCTAACACTGCAGTGCTTTCTAAGTTTTTCCATAAATTAAACTTGTATCAGAGTGACAGCAATGTTTTGTCAGCCTCTGAGAAAACCGTTGATGGTCGCCTAGAAACCTACAACCTAGCATGGACGGGTCCACAGTGAAAAAAAGGTTGAGGACACAAAACAAGGGCGTAGATTTGCTTTTGATATTGGTGGGGACGTACATCCCTAGAGCGCATGTATTGAACTGACCCAGCTGTGATTCGAACCAGCTACCTTCTTATAATAATAATAATAATAATACAACCACATACTACTACAACTACTACTACTACTACTACTAACAATAATAATAATAAATAACTTTTTATGAATTTAATAACAGTAATAACTAAATACTTAAAAAAAATACAGACATTTTTTTTATTACTACATTATTATTATTTAAAAAATGTTCTATGTTATTAATAATAATAATAATAATAATAATAATAATAATACGTATTAGTTTAACAACAGTAATAACAAATTTAAAAAAAAGAAAAAATACAGATGTTTATTATTACATTATTACACTTGCACTTATTAAAATTATTACTTATTATTATTTGTTATTATTATGTGATTATTTTCAATTACTATTAGTATTATTAGAAATAGTATTTTGATGTTAATAATAACAAAAATCAGAATAATATTAGTATATTATATTATAATCAGAATAATATTATTAACATAATAATAACAATAATAATAATAATAATAACAAAAAATAACTTTTCATTAATTTGATAACAGTAATAACTAAATACTTCAAAATTTAAAATACAGACATTTTTATTACTACATTATTATTACTTTAAAAAATGTATTATGTTAATAGTAATAATAATAATAATAATAATAATAACTATAATAATAATAACAAAAATAACTTTTTATTAATTTAATAACAGTAATAACTAAATACTTAAAAAATGAAAAATAGAGACATTTTTATAACATTATTATTATTTTAAAAAATGTAATTATATGATTATTTTCAATTATTATTAGTATTATTAGTAATAGAATTTTACTGTTAATATTAATAAGAATCAGAATAATATTATCAACATAATAATAAATAATAATAATTACTTTATTATTAATAATATTATTAGTATGTTAATAAAAATATTATTTGCAAAATAATATAACAATAATATTTACAATAATAAACATATTATTAATTTAACAACAGTAATAACTAAATATTTGAAAAGATTTAAAAAATGTTTATTACTACACTATTATTTTCAATTATGATTATTATTATTTATTTTTATTATTATCATTAGGATTCTGGGTTGTTTTATACTCACTTAAATAGCATTTATGTAAAAAGCTGAGTTATTTGGGTTAATTTGTCTTATTTCAGTTTAGTTGTTTAGAAGTTTGTCAAGTAGAGCTATTTAATAATACAGGACAAACAACTGTCTGGATATCAGTATAAAACTAACTAGCTCTAGTCTGAAAATGAATCTAAAAACGCCTGGATTGTGTTGCAAAATGCTGGATTGCTGTTGTAAAAGAGCAGAAAGGCACAATGAATGCCAGAAAGAAGAGATAAAAGACGAGATGAAGATCAGATACGCCTTCAAATCTTCACTCAGAGCTGAACTGGTTCCACCTGAAAGAGTCACATGACCTGAGCTCAGGTGAGCAGGAAGTGATGTGTTTACCTGAGTGATCGGCCTCCTGCTTCACTGTTACCAGGCTTTTGCATGGAGAGGAGCCGTTACTGTTCTCCCAGCTGGAGGACATGGAGCACAGCCGCTCTACCTGCACAAAACACACACACACACATTCACACACACTCCTGCAGCAGACACTCTCAATATACAGCTGAAGTCAGAATTATTAGCCCTCCTAAATTATTAGCCTCCAGTATATTTCTGTTTAACGGAGAGAAGATTTCTTCAACACATTTCTAAACATATCAGTTTTATTAACTCATTTCTAATAACCGATTAAATTTATCTTAGCCATGATGACAGTAAATGTTTGACGAGATATTTTTCAAGACACTTCTATACAGCTTAAAGTGACATTTAAAGGCTTCACTAGGGTAATTAGGCAAGTTATGGTATTTAGGCAAGTTATTGTATAACGACAACCCAGGCTTTTTCTGATTATGTACCCCTATATACAATTCTGGGGAGCGCCAAATGCGTCCAAGGAGATACGTTTGTTGCAGTTTTTGTTTTCGTGAATCCACCAGAGGCCGCTGTGTACGCTTTTTAAGATCAAAAATTTCTCCCGTGAGTGCCCTTTACGCCTGCTGTTCTCACGTAACTCCACCAGAGGCTGCTGTCAACTGACTGACCAAACGACTGACCGACCCACGCACTTCCCTAAACCCAACCGACAGGTTTGAAAGCAATCCCGAAAAAGAAAAGCCCTCACCTGATTTTTACCATGTTTGCAGATTTTACCACATTCTCACCCTGATATTTACTAGTTTATTTTATTTTTTTCTGTTTTTGTGCTAATGTCTGCTTTCTGGAAATGTTATTAGCCGGACTCAAACCCCATCGTCATGGTCAACTTCTCTCTGCAGCTCAAATCTTCTTACATACACGGCGAGCCCTTGGACAAACTGGAATCAGCAGGAAAGCCGTCCATACGGAGTTAAGCTTGGTTTATACTTCTGCGTCAAGTGACCGGCATAACCCACGGTGCAGGCAACGCGCGTGGCTGTGCATTTATACTTCTGTGCGCTGTCTCTGTTGGTCTGCATTAACACTTCCGAAACGCTAGTTGGCAGTGAGGTGTAAATGTTCCTCTGTGTCGAGTTTCTTGCTGGTGTTTTGCTTTTTCTGAACACTTCCTGCAAGTACAAGTGGCTCAAACTCGCTCATTTTGAGGCAGGAACCGGCGGACGTGGAACAACTTTAACTATGAGGTAAACACAAAACAAAACTTTCCATCAGGAGCTCCTTCACGGAACTCCACACTTGTAAACAATCGCTCCATCGGGCTCACGCCGTTTGCGCGGCTCTCGGTCCCGCCCAGACTAGTCAGCGCTACCAAGCCGACCGTTCACAGAGCTTGCGCTACGCGTCGTTTTGACGTGTAGTTACATTTTTGGAGAGGTGCACGTCAGCGACGCCGACGGCCACGGCGTAGGGCTATGCGTCAACACATAGGCTGCGCCGTAGCATACACGTGCGCTTGACGCAGAAGTATAAATCAGCCTTTAGGTGATCAGCTGGTGGGCGTGAAAAGGAACGGCATTATACCCCCCCGTAGCATTCATTTTAAAGACGAAATGCAGCCAAAATTACCTCTGGCTACATCATTTGCAATCTCCAGAAATGTATATAGGGCTACGCTTTCAGAATGAGCCTATGTTTTCCAGAACGATGGTTTATTTTGTAGACAATCAAGATCAAATACTGCTTAAGGGTGCTGAATAATATTGAATAAAACTGCTTTATTCTAGCTGAATTAAAACAAATAAGACTTTCTCCAAAAGAAAACATATTATAGGAAATACTGTGAAAAATTCCTTACTCCGTTAAGCATCAATTAGGAACTATTTAAAAAAGAAAATTCACAGAAGGACGAATCATTTTGACTTCAACTGTAAACTTTCAGGCAACAGAACCTGCTCAATCCATACCTTTAACTTTTCTTCTTTTTCAATTGCTCTCTTTTTTCCTTTGGGAAAGAAAAAAAAAAATGCAGAATGTAAATCAGTGCATGGAAAAAAATGACAGCTAAGGAAACCAAAATAAAAGTCTTATTTCACCCCAAAATCCCAACAAAGAGCTGGAAGTTGTGATTTACCAGAAGATAAAATTGCTTTTGTTTTTCTTTTTGTCTTGTTTCTAGTCCTAAAAATCATTAAATTAAGAAGCATTTTCTAGACAAGCAGAACATGTCTTGTTTTCAAAAATGATCTGTAAAAATGGAGAGTTTTTCTTTAAAACAAGCAAAACAATCTGCCAATGGGGTAAGAAAAATAATCTTATACCAAAGCGAAAACAAGATCATTGTTCTTACCCCATTGGCAGATTATTTTGCTTGTTTTAAGACAAAAGTCTCTTAATTTTGAAATATTATTTCGAAAAGCAAGATTATATGTTTTGCTGATCTATAAACTGCCTATTCATTTAAGAATGTTTTAGATATTTGCACTAGAAACAAGACAAAAAGTAAAAAAATCATTTTTGCAGAGTATTTACTGAATAAATTTCATCTCTATCTTTTACAAAATATATATATAAAAACGCAAATAAATGTGTGTGTTGGTAGCACTGTCGCCTCAAAGCAAGAAGGTCGCTGGTTCGAGCTGGCATTTCTGTGGAGTTTGCATGTTCTCCCCGTGTTGGCGTGGCTTTCATCCAGGTGCTCCGGTTTGCCCCACAGTCCAAACGCATGCACTATAGGTGAATTGGATCAACTAAATTGGCCTTAGTGTATGTGTGTGAATGAATGTGTATGGGTGTTTCCCAATGGAAGGGTATCCGCTGTGTAAAGCATGCTGGAATAGTTGCCAGTTCTTTCCACAGTGGTGACCGCTGATGAGCAATAGGACTAAGCTGAAGGAAAATGATTGAATAAATCTCGGACAATAGGAAAGTTTGTTTTGCTTGTCTATAAAATGCTTCTCGATTAAACAATTTTGACATATTTGCACTAGAAACAAGACAAAACAAAAGTTTTGCAGTGTATTTAATGAAAAATCACATCTTTTTATGCAATCAAAATTATAATAATTAAAAAAAACACATTTTGACATGAATGTGTGTGTTAGTACCTTGTATTCCTCACATTATGGGGACCAAATGTCCCCACAAGTATAGCAAAACCAGTAAATTTTGTCATTCGCTTGATCACCATGAGGAAAACAGCTCATAAATCGCACAGAATGAAGTGTTTCGAAAAAGTAAAAATGCAGATTGCATGCTCTGATGGTTGATAAGCGGTAGACGGAGAGAAAATACCGTCTGTACAGTAAAAACATGGGAATTCCCCATAAAGATCTTAAAGATTTCTTCTGAAACACATGACAGTGAGTGGCTGTTTAACATTTATATGTGTATATATGTATGTATTCCTTATATGTATAATTCAAAATAATTGTTATTGCCATACAGACATCAGCATATATTTTACAAACCTTAAATGTTCCGTTTTGCAAGTAGTTATGTGTATTTAAATCTCTGAAACCTAAAATAAATGTTATCTGTTTGATAAATTGTGAAATATTTGAGTTTTAGCAGTTAACGTGTTCTGAAAGTTCATGTAAAATGGTTACAGGTCCAGTGAAGGGCTTTGAAATGTGCATTTTTATTCGATGTTGGATGTAATCTCAACTAAAAGAATTAAGAGAGGGCGGGACATATAGTAGCTCCTCCCTTTTACAAAAAAACAACCAATAGTGTTTTGTTTTTACCACAGCTCTGCCAACGAGAGTGGTCGAGCTCGAGCACATCAAGCAAATGAGAAGCGTCTTGAAGGGGGCGGGGCATGTCAGACACTAGAAAGCATTTGATTGGTCAGAAGAGTTGATGAGGAACTGATTTAGGTGTCGAGAAAAATAATTGATCCATTTAGGCCATAGGTCTCAAACTCAATTCCTGGAGGGCCACAGCTCTGCACAGTTTTGCTCCAACTCTAAACAAACACGGCTTATCCAAATAATCAAGGTGTTCAAAAGAGTCGTGAACACCTTGATTAGGTGCATAAGCTGTGCTGGAGTGAAACTGTGCAGAGCTGTGGCCCTCCAGGAATTGAGTTTAATGTTTTGTATTGTTTTTTGCTCTTGGCTTGTTCTTAAAATTTTCTTATTTGGTTGCTAGGGTCTTCTAGCTGGTTGTCTGTTTTTTCTAATTGGTTGCTAGGGTCTTCTAGGTGGTTGTCTGTGTTTTTCTAATTGGTTGCTAGGGTCTTCTAGGTGGTTGTCTGTGTTTTTCTAATTGGTTGCTAGGGTCTTCTAGGTGGTTGTTTGTGTTTTTCTAATTGGTTGCTAGGGTCTTCTAGGTGGTTGTCTGCGTTTTTCTAATTGGTTTCTAGAGTCTTCTATGTGGTTGTGGTTGCTAGGGTCTTCTAGGTGGCTGTCTGTGTTTTTCTAATTGGTTTCTAGGGTCTTCTAGGTGGTTGTCTGTGTTTTTCTAATTGGTTGCTAGGGTCTTCTAGGTGGTTGTCTGTGTTTTTCTAATTGGTTGCTAGGGTCTTCTAGGTGGTTGTCTGCGTTTTTCTAATTGGTTTCTAGAGTCTTCTCTGTGGTTGTGGTTGCTAGGGTCTTCTAGGTGGCTGTCTGTGTTTTTCTAATTGGTTGCTAGGGTCTTCTAGGTGGTTGTCTGTGTTTTTCTAATTGGTTGCTAGGGTCTTCTAGGTGGTTGTCAGTATTTTTTCTTATTGGTTGCTACGAATTAGGCGGAAGTGACAAACTGCAAACTTTAAACCTGTCTAAACAGACAGGTTTAGATCTGTTGTATATCATCTAAACGTGAATGTTGTCGCTGTATTGGAGCTTATATTCTTAAAACTAAGGGACTGAATCTAACATCTTAATTGTTTCATTTTAGTTCCACAGGGTCTTTAAGAAGCTGATGACTGTTAAAAGGATCATCATCTTCTTGTGAAAAGCCTCCATTATGTACAGAGAGTGGCTGATCTCAGATGCAGTATGGGTGTGTGTTATTGACTGACCTCTCTTTGATTGTTTCTCAGACGCTGACAGCATTTTGTACACCCTGAAGGCGTTCGTTCCCTTTTTGTTGCTTTTGTCTTTCACCTCCTCGATGTCGGGCAGGGAGTTCATGGCACAGCGGAAGTTGGCCTTCCATGTTTTGGGGTCTGGTTTATCACCTGGTTGATATTTCCCTAAAATATGGGATCAGAAACCACATAGACTTACAACACAGAATGAATTTTCACTATCACTTCCACTGTTTATATTATATGCATTGCCATTATTAGCTGTGAACTAACGGTATACTCAAATTACATATAAGAATGACAACGTCTAACAGACAGTGTGTTCTTTTGACTCGGGCAATAAGCAAAGACTCAGGACACCCTATCAACCCAACAGGAACATGTTAACAACCACCAAGAAGACCCTAGCAATCAAATACGAAAATGCTTACGAACACAAATAAGACCCTAGCAACTAAATAAGAGAACACTAGCAACTGCTGAGAAAACCCTAGCAACCAAACAGCAAAACTTTAGCAACCACTCAGAAGACCCTAGCAACCAAACAGGAAAACAATAGCAACCACTTAGAAGACCCTAGCAACCAAACAGGAAACACTAGCAACCACTAAGAAGACCCTGGCAACCAAACAGGAAAACACTAGCAACCACTCAGAAGACCCTAGCAACCAAACAGCAAAACTCTAGCAACCACTCAGAAGACCCTAGCAACCAAACAGGAAAACAATAGCAACCACTCAGAAGACCCTAGCAACCAAACAGGAAACACTAGCAACCACTCAGAAGACCCTGGCAACCAAACAGGAAAACACTAGTAACCACTCAGAAGACTCTAGTAACCAATCAGGAAAACTCTAGCAACTACTCAGAAGACACTAGCAACCAAACAGGAAAACAGTAGCAACCACTCAGAAGACCCTAGCAACCAAACAGGAAAACACTAGCAACCACTCAGAAGACCCTAGCAACCAAACAGCAAAACTCTAGCAACCACTCAGAAGACCCTAGCAACCAAACAGCAAAACTCTAGAAACTACTCAGAAGACCCTAGCAACCAAACAGCAAAACTCTAGAAACTACTCAGAAGACACTAGCAACCAAACAGGAAAACAGAAACCACTTAGAAGACCCTAGCAACCAACCAGACCATAGCAATTAAACAGCAAAATCCAACCAGATACCACCCAGAGGACCCTAGCAACCTATTAAGAAAACAATAGCAACTGCTAAGAAGACACTCGCAACCAAATAGGAAGATTCTGAGAACCATCCAGAAGACCCTAGCATCAAATTAGGAAAACCCTGACAACCACCTAGAAGACCCTAGCAACTGAATAGGAAATTTCTAAAAATCATCCCGAAGACCCTAGCAACCAAATAGGAAAACACAGACAACCACCTAGAAGACCCTAGCAACCAAATATGAAGATTCTAAGTACCACCCAAAAGACCCTAGCAAACAATTAGGAAAAATACTGGCAACCACTTAGAAGACCATAGCAACCAAATAGGAAATTCCTAAGAAGCACCCAGTATATCCTAGCAACTAATTATGAAAACACTGACAACCACCTAGAAGACCTTAGCAACCAAATAGGAGAATTTTAAAAGCTGTCTAGAAGACCCTAGAAACCAAATAGAAAATTCTAATAACCACCCAGTATACCCAAGCAACCAATTAGGAAAAATACAAACAACCACGTAAAAGACCTTAGCAACCGAATAGGAAATTCCTAAGAACCCCCCAGTATATCCTAGCAACTAATTATGAAAACACTGACAAACACCTAAATAACCCTAGCAACCAAATAGGAAGATTCTAAGAACCACCCAAAAGATCCAGGCAACCAATGAGGAAAAATACTGACAAGCACGTAGAAGACCCTAGCAACCAAATAGGAAATTCTTAACAACCACCCAGAAGACCCTAGCAACCAAATAGAAAAATTTTTAGAACAACCAAAAAGAGCCTAGCAACAAATTTGGAAAACCCTGACAAACGCTAAGAAGACCTTAGCAACCCAATAGGAAAACATAAGAACCAAGCACAAGACATTAGCAACCAATTAGGAAAACACTAACAAACCACCTAGAAGACCCTAGCAACCAAATTGGAAAATTTTAAGAACCATGCAGTATACCCTAGCAACTAATTAGGAAAACAACAACAACAGCTTAGAAGACCCTAGCAACCAAATAGGTAAACACTGACAACCACCTAAAAGACTAATCCAACCTAATAGGAAGATTCTAAGAACCACCCAGAAGACCCTAGCAACAAATTAGGAAAACGTTGACAACCACCTAGAACACCATATAACAACCAAATAGGAAAATTCTAAGAACCACACAGAAGACCCTAGCAACCCATTAGGAAGACACTGACAACCGCCTGGAAGACCCTAGCAACCAAATGGAGTATAGGAAAACACTGGCAACCATCTAGAAGACCCTAGCAAATCAATCAGAAAATCACAGAAAACCACCTAGAAGAACCTAGCAACCAATAAGAAAAAATACTGACAACCAAGTAGAAGACCCTAGCAACCAATAAGAAAAACACTGATAACCACCTAGAAGACCCTAGCAACCAATTAGAAAAACACAGACAGCCACCTAGAAGACCCTAGCAACCAATTAGAAAAACACAGACAACCACCTAGAAGACCCTAGCAACCAATTAGAAAAACACAGACAGCCACCTAGAAGACCCTAGCAACCACAACCACCTAGAAGACCCTAGCAACCAATTAGAAAAACACAGACAACCAGCTAGAAGACCCTGGCAACCAATTAGAAAAACACAGACACCACCTAGAAGACCCTAGCAACCAATTAGAAAAACACAGACACCACCTAGAAGACCCTAGCAACCAATTAGAAAAACACAGACAACCAGCTAGAAGACCCTAGCAACCAAATAGGAAAATTTTAAGAACAAACCAAGAGCAAAAAAACAAAAACTCTAGCAACTGCTCGGAAGATCCTAGCAACCAAACAGCAAAATCCTAGCACATAAAGAAACTCATAAAGTTTTGAACCATACGAAAACTTGAGTTCTCTTGAGTTTTCGTGTTTGAGTAAAAGTGAATTTTGTGGAAACTATCCCTTTAAACTGAACATGTTCCATGATTTCATTTAACTGGGAGGGGGGATCATTTGCATCTATCGGCATGTTTACCTGTATGTATGGCCCAGTTTCGAAAAAGAGGAGCATCTTTCTCTACGTCCCATCCGTGCCGCGCCGCATGCATCCACGGAATCTGGAATATTCTCTTCTCCTGCAGGCAAACAACATGCAAAATATTACACAACACACCCAAAGTGCACACACAGCCCTAATTAACCAACAATACGCTTTCAACCACCGTGAGCAAGACTGTTATTTGTTGCTTAATCAAAACAATGATGAAGAAGACATGTTTTAGACCGCCGTTCTCACAGTCGTACCTTGTTGACCCATTTAAGTCCCGGTATTTGACAAGAGTTTATCTGCTCCTCCAACCACGGCCTCATGCGCATTCTCTCCACCGGCATGCTGACCTACAGTAAAAACACAAAGAAGCATCTGGAATGTGTCAAAGTTTGACAGCTGCTTTTCCTCCTAGAACAGGTTGTACATTCCTCCGTGATTCTCCAGGAAGCGTGATAAACTTGAACCCTATTTCTAAAAAACAACAATTCTCCAGGGGAGTCCGTCTGAATCACTGTTTACTGAAAGTGAATGAATGAAATGCATGAGTCAAGCTACAGATGACATCACAGATACACTGAGAAAATGATTCACTGGATTTACTCAATTTTTAAGGTATGTGCTTGCAAACAATTTATAAGAGCTGTCTATCTATCTATCTATCAATCT